TGGGAAAAAACAGACCAATTAAGGAAATATAGACATAAGTGTGAAATAACACAACACAAAATAATTATAGAAACAGACAACCGCATGGAACAGCTGTGATGCATGAACAGGGGTGGTAGGAAAAAACGCTGGCAATCTATGGGGTTGGATGGAAATAACTCTGGAGCTCTCTAGTTGGCCAGAAACAAAACACACTAGGGGCTTATGAGGATTGGACTAAGGAAGTGGAAGGAAACATTCTAAACCATGTTTGATTTGGTTAGTGATTGTGCTCTTACTCAGCCATATTGTGCTCAACCACATAGTTATCAAAATCTTACCATTCACGATTCAAATCTTATTATTTGAAACAATTCGACAACCGATCGACAAGAGTATCATAAGATGAATCTAATTGAAGAAACACTTTTGAAGCTATCCTATTTGATTATCAAATTAATGTCACTCATTCAATGCATTTACTCTATTTACTTATTTACTTGCTTCATTTCCACTCTTCTAAAGAAAAGGTTTCTCAAGCTCATTAATTATTTTGTTCCACAAGATTTCTGCTCAAGTTGTTTTATGTATTTCTAGTTTAAGTTTTATACATTTAACACTTATAATCATCTATATGATATATTTGGAGTAATTTTTCATTGTCTCTGAATCTTATGATTTGGTACAAATTATGATTCACAATTCAAAAATTACCTTGGAGATTCTCAATTTGAATCCCAATTTGATAACCTTGCTCTACCACATGATATGTTATTGGATCTTTGTTGTCATGTATACTAAAGAATTGGGGAGTATTATGCGATTATTGAGTTTATGAGCTACTTGTTATCCCTGTTTTGTATTTAAACAGTTCTTATAATTGGGGTGAATTATTTTTTTTTAAATTATTAATTTTTCATAATTTAGTAAATAAAAAATCATAACATATTGACTATTGCTTAAAAGAAACTTCAAAATTAATTTAACATTTTTTAAGAGACAACAATGCATTTTGTTTTCATTAACTAGCTATTCACGACTCTTAATATCAAACTTTGAAAGCTTGAACTCAAATCATTTAAATAATTAAGCTTGATCTCAAGCTTGAGTTTGTTTATTTAATTTAAAAACAAGTTTGAGTAAATAATCGATGAGTTGAGTCCGAATTGTTCACAAATAGTTGAGCCATTTACACCCCCTAATACTAGACTCTATTTTATGAGTTGTTATATGTTCCTACATTGGCCTCCTATGTATTTTAGTATGGGCTAGTTAATATCCAGAAAATTGATGTTTTGTGCTGCAATCTTTGAACTTCTTTTATGTCATTTTATAGTTTTCACAAGAGAGAAGAGTCCTTTGGCATTGTATGATGAACTGCTATCTTGTGCAGTTGTGCTTATGCTTCCAGAAATAACTAGAATTTTCAAAGACAATTCTTTACTGCCACATTTTTTATGAATTACTGTAACACTTTTTGGCTTCTTTATGGTGTCAGCTATGGTTTGTACTTTGTATAGACTATAGAGGGGTCCCTTTGATAGATATCAAGATAAATGAGCTTCCTTTATCTGTTTCTCCCTTTCTGTATGCATGTATATGTATGTTCTTGCTTTTTGAGGATTTCATATTCTCAACAACTTTACTCCTGCACTTTCTTTTTCCTAATAAAATTTCTTATTCTAAATTAAAAAAAAAATGATGGCTATGCTTCTCATCATCCCCCAGTTTCTTATTCTACCTATGTGTTGGTTCTTTTTGATAGATATATAAAAAAAAAGAGCTTTACCTATTTCTTCTGTCTTTCCCCTTCTGCTTGTATATTCTTGCTTCTTTGTGGATTTCTTCCTCAACTAATTTACTCCCCTATTTTTTGTTCCTAATAAAATTTCCTATCCGTAGAAAAACTGGTAGATATACATCTAATTATCCCATCATCAACTATAGGTTATACAAAATCCTTCTCCTTCATGGTGTGGTCAATGATCTAGTTTGCCATAACTTTGGTGGTTGGTGTCTTGCATTTCAGATATTTGGTTCTGATCCATCTTGTGCTGACTACCTGAAAAATTTGATTGAGGCGCTCTTCCAGCACACAACACGCCTTCTCACAAATATTCAGGTGGGATTTATGTAACTTTGCTGTAGCACTTCCTTTGAGCACTGTTGATAGTGCATAGATGTTTGATTATATTTCTTGCTGCAGGAATTCACAGCCCGGCCTGATATAGCCGATGATTGTTTTTTGTTGGCTTCAAGGTGTATTCGATACTGTCCTCAACTGTTTATTCCGTCATCTGTTTTTCCTTCATTAGTTGATTGCTCTATGATTGGGATCACAGTACATCATAGGTACAGTCTCTCTCTCTCTGACTCACAAAAAAACACTTAAAAGCATTCTCCATTTTTCTGAAAGTGTGTTATGTGTATCCTTGATCCTTTTTTTTTTTTTGTGGAGAGTCAAGAAATCCTGTAATAACAATTTTTCATGATACTCCATGGCTCACTTCCTCTATATAGTGTGGTTTACCATTTTTTCTGTTTTCTTCTCTTCAGGGAGGCTTCCAATTCCATATTGCATTTCTTGGCTGATATTTTTGATCTTGCAAGCTCCTCTGTGGGGGAGCAATTTATACCAATAAGAGATAGTGTAATTATTCCTCGAGGTGCCAGCATCACCAGAATTTTGGTTGCTTCATTAACCGGAGCACTTCCAAAATCTCGAGTGGAAGTGGTAATTTCTAAGTCTACGTTGACTGTATTTCATTTGCGTGTGTATTCACTTTTTTGACGGGATGAAGTGCAACTATCTCCTTTTAATTTGTGTGCACCTGTACCTCCCCCAGGTATCTTATACACTACTGGCACTAACTCGAACGTATGGGATGCAAGCGCTGGAATGGGCAAAAAAGAGTGTTTTGTTAATTCCATCAACAGCTGTTACTGATGTGGAGCGATCAAGGTTCTTAAAAGCGCTTTCTGATGCAGCATCCGGAGGTGATACTAATGGACTAACTATTCCCGTTGAAGAGCTCTCAGATGTCTGCCGACGGAACAGAGCAGTTCAGGAAATAGTTCAAGAAGCTTTGAGACCGCTTGAGTTGAATATGGCGAATGTATCATAGAGGATTGGTAAATGCCTGTGATAGAGAGGGCCATTTTGTTTAGGTCCTGTCTGTTGATTAGGCTAGTTGGTTGTGTATTATCTATCTGTTATATTCATTTTTTTTTATCAATTATCATTCTCCAATTTTTTAGGAGAATTTGCCCCTAAATGTTCTGTTTGTTGGCCGGAAAAAAATTAAATAGGGTGTTGTATCTTATATTATTCTTGAGATGTGGGATTGGTGAGTGATGTTTGTCCCGGTTGACATTTTTTGGGGGGCGGAAATTACATGGTATACAATTGTAATTTAATGAAAAGAGAAAAAAGTGGGGGGAAAATAGAGTAAATTGATACGTTGCTGCAAATTTTTATGTATGGAATGAATATCGATTTTGCAATCTGTGGCACTTGATTGTGTTTCAGTTCGTTCGACTAATATGTTAAAATGAAAGAAGGCGGACTTTGAGATGTAAATATGGGCATATTGGATCAGAAAATGATTGAATTGTATCGACTCAGATTGGATCCGATTATTACTAGTTTGCTATTGATGACTTGATGATATGAAAGTACACTTTAAGCTCTTGAGGAGTCATGTGCCGGCTCACCAGCCTTTAAAAATTAGAATGAATAAGCCATTGCTGTGATTAAATCATACTCTTTTTCTTTTATATAAGAAATAAATGTCTTCGTCATGTAATAATTGCAAAAAAAAATTATACTCTATTTATGGTGAAATCAATAGGTATAGGGTTATTAAGTGTAATAAATTATATAATTCAAAGGTGATTTTGGAATGTTTGAAATAATATTTAAAATTATAATATTAATTAAAATTGATCAATTTAATTAATTTTATTAGTTTTGATAAATTAGACTTTTTATTTATTTATATAAATTGGGTTAAATTATACTTCTAGTCTTTTATTTTATTTTTATCCATTTTGGTCTTTTATTTATTGAAATATTTATTTTAGTCTTTTATCTTTTAAATTTAAATCGATTTAATTTTATTAAAATAATTTTAATTACCATGTAACTAACATTAACTTCCGATCACAAAACATGGATTTTACAATTACACCATTCACATAAAATAAAATTTGAAAATTCCAATATCGATGCACAAAATCTATTTTTGGTTCAACAATGAGTTCAGAATAATACTTGCCTCCTTTTTCTTCCTCACTTTCATTGTTTGGTTGCTTCTTTTTGATCTCGATGTTGCCAACATATTTTATTACATTGCAACACATCGCCTTTATTAATACTTGCTCTTTCTAAATTTAGTCACCCAAAGGGTTTTCTTTCTTAAAGTAAAAGACGCATAACTGTTGGGTGTATATGAAAATGAGCAAAATGAAGAAACATGCAAAGAGAATATATTTATTTTGTCAGAGGTCAAGATTAGAATAAAAAAGAAGAAGAAAGAAATTCACATTAAATTAATAGAGACAAACCACATGTACTGCTAGACGAACGCTACATAAACATTGCTAGCACATTATCCAAAAGTTTGCATTGTTATAAAAGAAGTAAGAATAAGGATCAAAATCCAAATGTTAAACTGGAAACAAGTTTTCACGGCACTAAGAAGAAGAGCATGTTGTTGACATGCGATGACGCAAAAACTACAATTACAATAAGTAGCGTTATGTTTGACTTCCATAAAAAAGGCAAAAAAATACGCATATATATATCTGTTAACTATTTTTAAAAAACAATAAATAATAAAAGTTATATAATAGTAAATGAAATTATAGAATGAAATGTAAAAAATAAATAAATAAAAATTTTGTAAGTTTTATGAAAGTAAAATTGTAAAATAAAATGTGGATAATTATTTTTTATTGATGATATAGATGCAGGTTTAAACGTAAAAAATGATGAAATTTTTATAAAATGATTTATTGGTGGTGGAGTGGAGAAGGAGAAAGCGAAGAAGCAAAGATGAATTATTGATGGGAGGCGTGGACCCCTTTGAAGTTGTAGTTGCAGTTCCATTCCAAATTCCAATGTTAATGGATGAATGAATTGAATTAACCGAATCCGAATGTGATCCCTCCTATTGATGATCCTCCTGACATAACGAACCAACTAACTGAAAATAAAAATGGTGTCGACTTTGGAAAAGAAGAAGAACCTAAGCAACCTCATCATCCCCGCTTCCTCTTCATCCCCCAACCCATCCCCATCCCCATCCCCATCGCAATCCATCACAAGCCCACACGTCATCCACAGTAGGACCCACTCCTTCGTGGGCCCATCCCCTCGCTACAACCCATCATCCACCACCCCTCTCTTCTTCCTCCACGAGGCCGACGACGACGACGAAGAACAAGAACAACCACCACTGGGCCCGGGCCCTAAGATTGGGCCTTCCGATTTCCATATTCTCCGCGTGGTGGGCCAGGGCTCCTTCGGCAAGGTCTTTCTCGTCACAAAAAAAGGCGATGGAGTCTTCGCCATGAAGGTCATGAGGAAGGACACCATCATCAAGAAAAACCACGTCGATTACATGCGAGCCGAGAGGGATATTCTCACCAAAGTCCTTCACCCTTTCATCGTTCAGCTCCGTTACTCTTTCCAGGTCCTTTTAACTTAACCTAATTCATTCATCATTTCACACAATAGCAATATCATTATGTTTCTCTGCAGACCAAATCTAAATTGTATTTGGTCTTGGACTTCATCAACGGAGGCCATCTCTTCTTTCACTTGTATCGCCATGGTATCTTCCGGTATCTTCTTCTTCATCGCCATCTTAACTATTGCTACCTACTGCATATTCCTTTCAACTTTTTCTTTTTTTTATTATTATTTTTAATTATGCCTTTGCTTTCCTTTATGTCTTGAGTAGTGAGGATCAGGCAAGGCTTTACACTGCTGAGATAGTGTCTGCTGTTTCGCATCTTCACAGCAACGGCATCGTGCATCGCGATCTTAAGCCTGAAAACATTCTTATGGATGCGGATGGCCATGTAATAATAATGCTCATGCTTTTCATTTTCTGTTTTTTCTCTCTCACCTTCTGTGCTTGTGCTCCTGCTTTAGTATTTTCAACCTTGGTATTTGCCCGTGTGTAGGTCATGCTAACTGATTTTGGAATGTCAAAAGAGATTGATGAATTGGGAAGATCCAACTCTCTGTGTGGGACTGTGGAATACATGGCTCCTGAAATCCTTCTGGGTAAAGGCCATAACAAGGATGCTGATTGGTGGAGTGTTGGTATTCTGTTGTATGAAATGCTAACAGGGAAGGTAATGCCAAATCTTGCATCATTTATTTGTATTTATGTGTAGGTTGTGTGTCAAGGTACACAAAGTTTAATAATTGGAATTATATGTGGGTATACAGTAACAATATACACAGTTAAAAGTTAGAATCTATTATGTCTCTTACTCTCTGGCAATCAAGTCTTGAATAGAGAACATTAGGAGTCGATATAGGTAAGTCTTGGCCAAGGCTTTGTTGCTTATGCAATATGAAAAAAGTGAGATGATGGTAGAGTCAGCAGATGCACATGACTTTGGATTTTACCTTACAGGGATGAGGTTGATGTAAGTTCAAATTATATGATAATGGAAAGTTGTGAACTGCATTATCTCAAGGTGGACCTTATTGAGGATCAATCTTTTCTTTCGAAATTGACATCTTAATGAATCTGTTTATTTGCTGTTTAGGGACCTTTTCTATTTCATTTTTTTTTTTTTATGTAATAGAACAAGGTAAAACTATCAGCATTTGAATGCTCTCTACTCTAGGACATCTAGCACCACTTTGCAGATTCTCTCTTGACAAAGGGCTTTTGCTATTTTACAAAGTGTGTACTTTGTTTTATACCTGATTGTTGAGTTTTATTTGGCAGGCACCATTTACACACACTAACAGAAAGAAACTTCAGGAGAAAATTATTAAAGAGAAAGTTAAACTTCCACCATTCCTTACCAGTGAAGCTCACTCTTTGCTCAAAGGAGTAAGTAGACGACAGTATTTCTGGTTTTTGTCCTTTTTGTTTCTCTACCCTCTCCTCTCCTGTTATAGTATACGTACAACTATAATATGCTTGTTTCCTAAACATGATATTTTGTCGGTATCCTTTTCTAATGCCAATGTTTTTATTTATTTTTGAGTAAATACTCACTTTGGTCCTTGAATTTGGAAGACACTGTCATTCTAGTCTTTTTGAAATTAACAAATTGTCAAATAAATCTTTAAAATGTCAAATAAGTCCTTAAATTTAATCGCATATTGTCATTTCGGTCTGTGAATATATATCAACTTCCTAACCTAATGACAACTTCTAGAAAAAGAAAAACATTGATGACCCCATTTTTGTAGTTTCTGTTTCATTACAAAGCGTGATCATTCAAAGGATAACTTTGAAAAAAGAAGATAATAGAACGCAGGGATGCAGTGAAAGTCTTGCTCTGGGACATGTTCTCTAAATATTTATTATATATTTTAGATTAAAATTGTTAAGGAGAGACAGAGGGGTCCAATGCTAAAGACTGCACTTTTTTGTTTACTTGTTACAGTTGCTGCAAAAGGATCCATCCGCAAGGTTAGGAAGTGGGCCAAATGGAGATAACCAGATCAAAAGTCATAAATGGTTTAGGTCAATCAATTGGAAAAAATTGGAGGCAAGAGAACTGGAACCAAAGTTCAAACCAGATGTATCTGGGAAAGACTGTACAGCTAATTTTGACCAATGTTGGACAGCAATGCCTGCTGATGACTCACCAGCACCCACACCTACAGCAGGTGACCATTTCCAGGGCTATACTTACGTGGCACCCAACCCTTGGCTTTCATCTGGCACACTAGACTGAAAGAGAAAGTCTGTACATGGATGAAAGAATCAAAGTATGACCTGAATAAGATAACTAACCCAAACCTTCTGATTGTAAGCTTTCTTAGCTTGCAAGTAATCCAAATCTTCTCTCACAAAGATGCCACCCTTTATGTTTTTCAAAGTTAACTCTTAAATGTAAATTGTAATTGCTCATTGCACAAAATAGAGAATGTTGAGTGGCTCTGATATGACCTTTCATGTTTGTGCAGCTTGGTTTAGTTCTTATTTTAAACCAAGGTAAAAGGTTTGAACTGCTTTGTCTTCCAATTCCATCCATGTCAATATTAACATATTTGACTACGCTAGTGCCTGAAAGAGGGGCAAAGAGTTAGCATATTGACTTTTTATTCATCAAAAAAGTTGCACTTGTCAAATTTGTCCTATTTTTGGCAGCAACGCAACTCAAAGGTTGATGCATTTTATCGCAGTTCCTTATGTATATCTATATGTAACTATTAGCTATTGAACACGTGACTATCAAATGTTCTGATTATAAGATCTTGTAAGATAGATAGTTGTTGGCCCCAATATCTTCGGTTGTGTCCCCTTCCTTTCGAAAGCGCACGTTTTATTAGGCAGTAGGAACACACAAGATAACAGTATCTACAAAACTTCTGTCTAATCTAACTAACAAGGTCATGTCTTTGTGTGGTTGTTTGGATGGACCTGCTTCGTCCAACACTGCATGTTTGACAAGTAGTCAGATACACAGGAAGAGATGATTCCCCAAAAACGTCACGAGTAAGGAGAGACCAGAATGAGATGAAAATTATTATTTAAAATAAGTTTATGTTTGTTTTTAATTCTTCAAATTTGGTTCTCAAATTTAAAATTAATTTTTTAGTATCAAATACTATCATACAAAATTCATCTGTCTTTATAAATGAAAATATCTTATTAAATTTAGTGTATGTCTTTTAATTGTTTAAATACGTGACGGTTACGTATTGAATCGGTGATTTAAGGAATTAAAATAATTTTGTTTTGAAATTAGAAATATTAAAATATTAATTTTAGATTTGAGTGACAAAAAAATATTTACTCTAAATTTAAGCTATTAAGTTATAAAGTCAAGCATTAAGAAACAAACAACCAGAGAAGCAATCTGAAAACACATCTAGGAGATTAGCAGTTTCAAAGAATCTTATTCTCCTCGACTTTAGACTATGCGTAACACAAACATAATAAAATATCAAACCTCAGCAACATGTGAATTACGTGATTAATTTAAGATCATGGTAAATTCTTAGTTACAAATCTCTGGGCACATGTACACGTACTAGTCACTAAAACCTACTTTTTAGTTTTATAAAGCCAAGAATCTTGATGGGTTTACAAATGGTGCAACCAGGGACCAAACTCGGAAACCAATTATCAATGATATGTGTGCTACTTCATGCTTTCACTTGTCATTCAGACAAGAATGCAACAAGATTCTGTCTATATTACGTAGGCTCTACTCTTTGCAAAAGAACCTTCATTTAACTGAACGAGCAAGGGATCCACCCACTAAAATTAGTATATGTCGGATGAGAGTTTACACGAAACCATAAAGAACCCAAAAAAGACCAATTCACCCATCTACATCCTATGCTTATAAATAGAACTTCCTTGTCTTTTATGTTGCAACAAGCATCTCTTGAGACACCAAGGATTTCTCAAGCCAAAGATTATGGATAGAATCAAGTCCAAGAGTGAGAAGTCTCTTTGTGAGAAATCAATGAAGGTTGTAGTAAATGTGATTAGGCTATCCTCTTTCTCTATAGCACAAAAGACTCTTGGAGCTACCAATACAAGAAAGGCTGGTTCAGGGTCTGATATGGACCCTGATGAGGAAGCACTAGTTCCTGATCCATTCCCAACTACAAGCAAAAGGTCACAACAGCCACAAAGCCGTGCAAACCCCACATATGTGATCAAGTCAGTTGGGAGCAATGAATCAACTGAACATCTGATTTATCAAGAGAGAGTCCCTAGTGATGTTAACCAAAAGAAAGAGCAGTGTGTTGATGGATTGGCTTCTGACTATATCAGTAAGATACGTAACAAGCTAGGGCGTGGTGTATAATAGATTTGGTTTTGAAGATCTTCTTTTGTGTACTCCCTAGTAAAACTATTATTGTCTTACAGCTTTATGTGCTTCATGTATCATCAAACATACTACTACTTACATAAGCAGACATTTTGGTTTGCATTAACCAGCTGTTACAAACTTAGTTGTTGAGATTTCTAGCTGAAAGAAATGATGTGGTTAACTCAACTTTTTTTTTTTCCTTGATGCTTTCTTTAATATTCTTTGCTGGATGGACAAGTATTATATGCAGGCTAGTTTATTTATACAACAGATGATGGTTTTCAACATACGAGTTTGTATGAATTAAATTAATGATTTCATTTAGTTTTGGTAACATCTATCCAAATAATTTCCTTACTCAATAGCTGCTTAGGCTCTTAGCAAAAAAGATATTATTTATTCAACGGGGAAATTGAATAAAATATAGATATTGATGAGTGTTGCAGTCACAGTGGTGGTCCAACATACATGTGGATAAAAAGATAAAGTAATAAGAAATCGTGAACAAGTGGTTCAAGAATATGGTTTCTAAACCTCCTGATGGAAGGTACCCCAACATTTAAGCTTCTAATTAATCCCCGAATTTTGTTAAGCTTGAAACGGGTATATATATCATTATAGACTACAGAGACAGAGAGAGAGAGAGAACTTAAGACCGTTATGCTGTAAAAAAGTAGTAACTGCAGTAATTCATGCGCTGGCTTCATGGAACCATATATCAACCTATTAGTTTTAGGAGGTGTTTTATCTTACAAAAATGACTCATTACATTCACATAATTTTGGTTAATTCTGTAAGTTTTTTTTGCATAAACTTACTAAAACACTCAACTTATTTAAACAAATTTAGTCAAAAGCTTATGAAGATGCCTTATGCGATAAGCTGGTTTAATCCTTTCAAGTTACCAGTAAAGAGATGCTACTTTGTTTGCCGTATACTTCACCAGCCAACCATTGCTTTCCACTCACTATAGGTTTCAGCATCTTTTTTCTTTTGACTATATGATTATATTTTTTAAAATGATTTTACTGTCTTGCCTATTAAAAATCCCGTGAGTCATGCTCCCTCGATTTCTATAGAATTATCTCACCTTAAGCTATATATATTTTCTTGTGACATCTTGTGAGAAGTAGTATACACTATGACCAACACATAGCATGTCTTGAATTCAATTTTTTTTGCTGATGTCAGCTACAAACATTTGTTCAATATTTAAAGAGGTTTAAATATACTTTTCATCTATGTAATTCATCGTCTTTTTACTTCTAGTCCCTTTAAATTTTTGTTTTATTTCATTTTTTCATAACATTTCAAAAATATTTCTTACTATCGATTATCATTAAAAAAAAATTCTACATAACAAAAAGAATATATATTATATTTGTTATTTTCTACTTCACCAGTAAATAAATTGATTTTAATTTTTTTTAGACAATTTCAAAATGCCCTTTACTACATCTTCATCTCCACCCTTGTGATTGCGCTTCCTCTCTCTGATCCAAATTTGATACTGCAAATCCTAAACCTCTCAATCTCCCGATGAGGAGCAACTTTTCAAAATCTATGATCTCGATAATGACACTAAGTTCATCCTCAACAATTCCTATTTCTGCAAGGTTACCACCAACTATCATTCCACCATGGAGGAGTTCGACCTCACACTCGACTATTTCCCTATCATGCAAGAGTTCATGTGTTGCAAGAGCATTCACCACTCTACTAGCACCACCACCAATGTCGCATCCTCCAAAGTTAAGGAAAATTGTGCCGGTTGACTTAAGATCATTAAGACACTTGCCACCTATCATGACCGCCACAATAACGATGAGTGGGACACCTAATTGAAGAAGGAAGGTTAGTGGTCTAGTTCTATCATTGATGACTAACAAGACAAGATATTCCACGAAAAGTATGATGAAGTGATAATAGTTAAGTGCATTTTAAAATTGTCAAAAAATTAAAATCAATTTATCTACATGACAATAGTATAATAGAAATAACGAATATAATATGTATTATGTTTCTTATATGGATTTTTTTTAACGAAAGTTGACAACAAAGACTATTTTTGAAACATTATAAAAGGTTACGGATGAAACAACAAAAAGAAATTATAGGGACTAAAAGTAAAAAGTGATAAATTATACGAACGAAAATCATATTTAAATTTTTTTAAAATCATATTAGAAGATGAGAGAACACGAAATTTATAAGACTAAGTATAGTGGTGATCTAATTACAACTTAATATTGGATGAACTTTTGATATATACACATCTTATATTTAATAATATATCTCCCTTTTCATTTTATTTTCCATAAATATCTTAATATTTTATTTTTAACTGAGATTTTCATAAACTATTTCAAACCTTTTTTTAATTTTCTTTCAAATACTCACTTCTTTTTCCTCCACACACCTCTTTCCATTGGATCCACACCTCTAATTCCTTTCTCCTCAACAACATTCTTTGCCTTTATTAATATACCAATTCGTATATGTGACACCGTTTTTTAAAGGAAAATGTAAAGCTTTAGAAAATATTTTTTAAAATAATATATTATTCTAAAAAATACTTTTTGAAAATATAATTTAAAGTGTATTTTTTCAAAAGATATTTTCCAAAATAATATATATACTATTTTGGAAAATACTTTCTAATATTGCACAATTTTAAAAAATATTTTTCAAAATAATATTTATACTATTAAGAAAGTACTTTTTGAAAATATGTTTTAAAATATAATTTTCAAAATTATTTTTTGATATATATGTGTGTATATTATTTCAAAAAATATTTTATGAAAGTATATTTTATCAGGCATAATACATGGCTTCAAAAATTACTTTTTGGTAATATTAAAAAAAATTGATTGTAGTCAATCGTATCATGTAAAATCAACGAGGATCCTACCTTGGAAAATCATCGGGAGTGCCTTCAAAACATTCACCAACAGTGAAAATGAATTTAAAAAATAGAGTTTAAGGAATTATGAGGTGTGAGTATCTTAATTATTATATTGAATAGAAAAATCAAGAAGAAGAAAAAAACAAAAGAGAAAAATCAACAATAAAAAAATGTTAAATAGATACAGCAGCAATCAATAGATGAAGAAGGGTGAAGAAAAAGAGATGGACGAAAAAGATAATCTTTAGAAATAAAGTTTATTTTAAAAAATAAAATAAAATTAAAAATATTTAAGAAATTTTTGAAGAAAAAAAATAGAAGAGACGTGTGTTTATCAAATAGTGGCGGTGCATA